TACATCTCATTGAAAAATAAACTCCAGAAACTGAACATTTCTGTACAGGTTCTCCGAAATACTAGCATAGGGTCAGAAAAGCTTCACGAATTTCCATTGAGCCGTTTTGTTTCTAGAAATTCCAAAAACGGTGCAAATCGATCGACCGAGTATGAATCCTTAAAAAACAGTATCTCGCTAAAAACTGAATTCTGTAAAATGAACATATCTGTACGCATTCCTTGAAACAATCTCTCAGAGATAGGAAAGTTTCAAAAATTTCCGTAAACCCGTTTAATTGTGAACAAAAGTTCCGAAAGAACCGCTATTGAACTATTCATCGTCTGTTATAAATTCGAAGAGGCCATTTTCCATTAGAGCAGGAGAGCTTGAAGAATTTGGAAATGGGTCATTCGAAATATCTCCGGTCTGGCTGGATACCGAGATCGCGTTATCTCGCGGCACCCGTTGTTAAACGTTAAAACTGGAACGGTGCTCGATTGAAACTTATCTGCAACAATGCAATCTGAATACACCGGTGACGTCAATGCTCCGTAAAACACGGCTCTGCTTACGAAGCGAGCAAGTTACGAGCCTCTTTTTCCCTCGTGTCCGCCACGATACAGCCGAAGGCTAAGGCGAAGGTGTGCGACTTTATTATTCTGTCACGTTCCTCCGGCGAAATATCATTTGCAAAAAGTTCGACTCTCGTTGCGGCGGAACGGGCCTGGCCGCGTGACGAATGATCGCTGACGATCGGTTACATTATGATTTTTATACTACGATTACCGTGGTATTATTTTTCTACCACATTTTTTATACTATGATTTTTGTAGCACGATTTTTATACTACAATTTTTCTGTCATGATTTCTGTACTATGATTTGAAATCGTGGCAGGAGAACATTCGACTTTGACTTCGATTTTAAAGAAATTAAGAACATATTCGTGTCTAGAAAAGTCTCTTCGCCGTGTTTGTCGTGATTTTAACTCGACATTACACGCCGACGGGTTTATTATAGTAATAAAGCTCATTTTAGTGTCGGCAGCCTGAGGACGTTACGCGTTTGCGACAAAAACGAATAGTTCAAATGCAAAACGGTAAAGATGTCTAAAGAATTTGAACGCGTTATCGATGTTACTCGTTAAAATAATGGAAACAATTTTTCTGTAAACTGAAACGTTTTTCTTATTCGCTGCGCGCTCGTCGCTTCAACGAACGTTTTAAATCGATTTTAATTTACAGAACCGAGTAATTCGCTTCGTAATAGTGTCGCGGACTCGTGTTAAACGCGCGCTAAAGATTTATTTGCCGGTCGCTTTTCAGCTGTGAGAGCCGAGCGAATATTTTTAGTCAAACAATATGCGAAACTGGTCGCTCGTTCCCGTTCGCGCGCAGCTTTCGTTTGCCTCGTCGATAATCGTTCCACCGCGAACTGTCCCACTGATTATGCGACTGCAGTCGCATCGGGGACCGTACGTTATGCATTCCTCGCATATTTTCGCCCCGGGCGTGTTATGATTACCTGTTAACGCGATCGGGATCATCGGTCGAACGCGAGTCTTCACGTGCCGGCGGGCTCTTCTCTTAATCGAGCACACGCGATTAATTAAGCTCCGAGCCTTCTGCTGCGTATGTACTCTGCTGCAGACGTTACTCTTCTAGACGGTGTACAAAATTGAAACGATTCTACGTCGTTCACGATCGCTATTAAATTCCGTTGTATTATCGATGTGCGTGCGTTTGATAGCCGAGGAAACTGCGACCGATCTTAATGAAGTACAAGAACCGAGCAATTGAGAAATATAATTCGCGACAGGATCGAGTAACGACTGCTCTATTGTCTGTAATTGCTGTCGATCCCAATCTCTGACTCACGTTTCCTAAAACGTGCAATTGCGTCGCCGGGAATGAAAAGCAAAACAGCGACATTAATTTCTACATGAGAACGACTACGTTAAACGAATGAAACATCGCTCGAAGCGCTGCAGGAATAGTTGAAAAAACTGATAATGACCCACAAATGATTCCTTAAAATATCTTCGGATGAACTCTTCTATTTTAGATCATGTACTTCGAACTGCGTACACTCGGTCACGCGAAAAGGTCCGCTATTTGACGAAACATTTTATGCACTTCTCGCAATCTTTAGAACATTGTCCGGCGATTTATCGAGTGCTCTATGTATATCAGTCGCAGAAGTCAATAGGAACCCGATGAAAAAATCTTTTTATGCCACAGATTTATTGTACAACAAGTCCCAAAAGCTTTACTCTTCGTACACTAGTCAATGTCCTCCAGGAAAAATCATGATTGAGTTTTGAATTGTTGCCGAACAAGAGCGACTCTTTTCTGATTTCGCGTTATACATATTTGCCACGATCGAATACATAGATTGTATCTGTATAGAAAATTGCCTGGACGAAGAGACCGACTGAAATCGCGATGCTAGACGTCCTCGCGACCGGACCTTGCCGACTAGATTAAAATGAATGACGTATCGCGGGAATCGAAATCCACGGTTCACCCATCCGGATCGATGATCGGAATCGCGGAACGCGTATCGCGATTATACGTGCCGTTAATAACAAGTACGAACCTTCGGGGTTCCAATTTATCGCACGTACTTCGAGGAAGTGCAATAAACCGGTCATAGTCGAACGTAGTCGAGCCAGTCTCAAAGCTCGAAATAGCAGAAAATCTTGAAAATGATGTTCGCGACGTTCTAATTCGGTAAATATGAATAGTACAGTGCTAAACTCGGAGTCATTTTAAAGCTTGAAGCCTCTACTTTCGCAGTTCATCGTTCATTCGACGTGAGTAATAGATTCCAAGATGTGCTCGCACGAATCTTGGTACTTGCTGAAACTTACAGTACAAAGTTAAAACGTCTACGAGGTGAAACGTCGTTGAGGACATTGGAAAATTTTATTCGCTACTGAATAATCCATAGATCGAAGCTTCTCCTTTACGATCACCGCTCGAAAGTTGGTCCACAATTTTTCCTGGTCGTTTTATGAAGATCCGAACGAAAGATGCGCTGCAGTTTCGCATGAACGAAGTTGCACGATCGAACTTGTTCCTTGTTGCAATCAAATGTGCTTAATTTCTTCATTGTTTTTTTTTTTGAACGATATCCTCGAGAAGTAGACACTGCTATGTATAATTTATCGCGAAGAATATCGTTGATATGGAAGAACGATGATTTTTCGTGAACACCTGGGAGACGGAACTCGAAACGATGACTTTGCGGATCGACCTAGGACAACTTGGCAAAAGAATATGCAGATTCGGTTTATCTCCGATTATTTTGCATTTCGAGGAGTAGCGGTTTATCCAGTTGTGCGAGCGATTGGAATTTTGCCGGTGTGAAACAGACGCGGATCGATGTCTGCAGCCTGTAAACATCGAGCCACTCGTCTCCACCGAAGCCGAGATAACCGAAACGATTTCGAGATTCTCTGTTGAAATTGCACAGCGAAGTGTCGCAGGACGAACCGTTCCTCGGTCTCGCGTTCCTGATTGTGCTTGATCGTGCTCGATCGTCCTCGATCATCGAATCGGTGCGGACCGTTTACACGCAATTGCGCGAACGTTACGCGTCGGCCAACCAATTGGCCAAATCGTTGGCCATTCTACCATGCGTTCTGCCGAGAGGCGCATGTGACGCATCATAATCGGATCAATTGGTGCCCGCGAAGTACTAATTAACGCCGGTCATCCGCGATCTGCCTGTAAACTCAATTAAAGCTTTCGTTGCCAGAGTCACGTGCCCGGCCGACGAGGCAGATCGTTTTCGCAGATCTACGTGACTCGAACGATGCACATTTTCTTTGAAAATGTTACTATTCATTTCATGATAGAGAAGAAACAGATAGTCAAATAACAGTAATTTCTCACTAATTCGCGCTCAAATTGGACAATTCTCTCAAATGGACAATTTGGGAAGAGGAGATAAGATCATTCGAGCCTTGCGGCTCGTTTTTATAGTTAACGATTGTCAACAATTATAAAAACGAAACGCAAGGCTCGAATAATCGTACCATCTCTTCCCAAATCGTCCATTTTTGTGCGCAATCTGGGCGCGAATTAGGGAGAAATTACTGTACAAAGACCCGGTAAAAGCAAAGAAAAAGCAGATCTAAAGAGAAATATATTGCTTGTTAAGTCTTGTGTATATTGTTTTTTCTTATTAGTCTATTCTGTAGTATAAGATTACGTTAATGTTTTGATATGCGATGCTAGTATATTAAGGAAAACGAAACAAGCGAATTACCGACAACTAAGTGAGCTAAGAAACGTGAGCTAAAACTATTTTCTAAGCCAAAAGACTGAAATAAATCGTTCGTTCATTGTTTATTTCATCTATTATTCTCCGATTGATAATTAAACTGCTCCGCGTGGGTGAATATTCGGAACAACTTTATCCAGTCGTTAGTACATGCTCCACCTCTATGGTATCTTGTGTCCTATTCGCGCGTAGCTTATGTAAACTACAGAATTAGTGTTGCATACATTACTTTTCGAGTTATGAACAGTAATACGCTCGTCGTTCCCGCATTATATAACCATAGCAACGAAGTACGATTTCGAAAAGGAATTCCTGCGTCGATTGGAGTCGCGGTATAAAGTAATCTTTACTTAGAAAATACATATTACGCATAATTGTGCCAGTATAATTCAATCTAAAAATCTCAATATATGTACTCTTTAATTCCATCGAAGTTTTCTGACCGTTAAGTCCACGACCAACGAACCCGTTGCACTCGAGTGGCGACTCTTAGGCGCCACTAAAATTTGCATTCAATAAGTTGTTAAATAACAGAACTCTTGTATAAGCAAACGGTTTCATACTCGACAAATAAAATGAATCGCACCGGATGGAAATGCCGTGGCTTCGAGCGGGTTAAAAGACTTCAAGGGGTTAAAACGCTCGTTCGGTGTGCTCTAATTCTCGTATTTTAGTGTTAAGCCACGGTGTCGACTGGATTAAATTCTTAGTAGATTCCTCTGGTTACAGCCCTCGAAGAAGGAGCAAACGCGGTTGAACCATAACTCGAACCAGAAGGAGCATCGAAGGCAGAAGGATGCGTCCTCCAGCAGCACCTACAGCGCGTTCCGGCAATGGCGGCGTTCGACCTCCGCGGGGTCGAACCGGTCGAACAGCGTCGGTTCGAACTCGACCGGAGCTCACCCTAAGGTCCCCACCGATCCGTTGACCATCCAGAAAATGGAACAGTTCCCGATGGTCCTGTCCGACGCCACCATACCCGAGGAAGACCTCTCGTTGAAGTTTCTAGCGCTGGTACCGATCATCCTAGCACCTATTAAATTCGAAGTAAATAACGGAATAAAGAAATGAAAGATACCCCGAAGACAATCGCGCTTGAAAATTTCTTACGCTTTATCAGAAAAAGGCTTAGCAATTTCGAATAATAATCTCCAGAGGCGATGTTAGAAGGCCATCGACGCGTTGAGTGCCAAAAATCAACCCTTAAAATTCTCACAAAATGATCAATGAAACTGAAACGTTAATATTTATCGTAGCGGATAGTATTTAAAAACCCCTTTGCATCCGAAGCCTAGTAAAATTCAATTTTATAGCTGGTTTCATAAAAACGAATTTTAAAAACTATTCAACAATTAGGGTCGCCCATATGTGACCGACGCGGCACTCAACGTATTGAGTGCCATTTGACTGCGAACCAAAAGTACAGAACCGGGTTACTGACACAGGGGTTGACTTTATTTTACCTGTCTTCCGCGCGCTGTATTAAAGTTTGCTTACGCTTGTATTGTTCTTGCAGAACGCGTTGGATCTAACGGCGCCAGCCAGCGATGTTCTACTGAAGAACAGATTGAAGTCCTGGTTCCAGTTATCTGGCCATCCGGATGGCTTCGCGCCAGCCGGACCCGGCACAGTTTGGAAGAGAAAGACTGGAGGCGCAGAGAACACTGAGAGGATCGTCTACGAGGCTCTCAGCAAGGACAAGGAGCTGCGCGATTGCGTGCCAAGGTGAACGATCGATCTTATTATATTACATTAAAATAGCATATTATATCTAGAAGACCTAGGAAAGCTAATGTTACGTTTGCTTTGCGAAGAGCAATTGTATCTAAAGGTCACGTGTTCCATTGCAGATACTATCGGGAAGTGGAGTACAAAGGGGAGACGTTCATCGAACTGCAGGATCTGCTGTTCGGCTTCAACGACCCACACGTGATGGACATCAAGATGGGAACGAGAACGTTCCTCGAATCCGAGGTGTCCAAGACGACCGCCAGACCGGATCTTTATCAGAAGATGATCGCCGTTGATCCTAACGCGCCGACCCAGCAGGAACACGAGCAGCGTGCCGTGACTAAGTTACGGTACATGCAGTTCCGTGAGCAGCAGAGCTCGACCTGCAGTCACGGTTTTCGAATCGAGGCGATGAAATTGCCGGGCGCGCCGCCGATCACTGATATGAAGAAAGTGAAGTCGCATCAGGAAGTTCTAGACACCATGAAGCACTTCCTGGGCACCGGCGAGACCACGCGCGAGAAGCTGCTTGTTCGTTTGAAGAATCTCCGGTCGAAGATCGAGGCCTCTGAATACTTCAAGACTCACGAGGTATGTATCCTTTGCTACCCCTTCAGTGATAGATCCAATCTTAGGCTGCGCATTTTATGCAGTTGAAGTGGATAATTTTTATTTTACATAAAGATCCGCGCAGTTTAATGATTATACTGTTTGATCAACTCTTGTGTAAATACACGGAATGTATAAATAAGCAGTAGCATAAAGTTAAAGCAAAAGTTTGATGTGGTGATGTTTGTTTCAGATCATTGGAAGTAGCATCTTCATGATCTACGACAAAGATAAAGTTGGCGTGTGGGTGATTGATTTTGCTAAAACGCAAGCACTACCAAATGGGCTGATAATGACACACAGAAAGCCATGGGAGCAGGGCAATCATGAAGAAGGATTTTTGTTCGGTCTCGACAATTTAATTTCAACGATAGAAGAAGTCGATGTTTCACAGGCTGCATAATTTGTATATTATCGTCGTAAATCGATCGAATTGTATTTAAAAGTTAATCAAGGAGTATTCGATTTTCTCGTAGGAAAGTTTTAGATCATTTATTCGTTTTACAAATACTTTCTTTTTTAACCGAATTTATACCTAAGATTTTGTAATACTGGCCATTTAACGAACGCTCTACCGTCGAATCAGTGTTGTTCAAATTTTCTGCAGAAGACTTTCTCACCTCTGCACTCAAAGAAATAGACTGTACGCATATTCAAAATTATTTGAGATATTTTCAAGCGATCTGAGGTAATTTGACTAACACTGATAAATATGATAGGTATTCAAAGTGGAAGACTGCTTGCTACTGCATTTTTCTATAAAGATTTTTAGTCGAGGTAGTTTCATGAATGCAACTTCGCATTATAATTAGAAGGTGTACAAAGTTTATAACTAATGTACAAACGTAGTGAATTAAATGTAATCGTTTAAACATTATTTATGAAACATAGATGTTAGGTATTCGCGCATTATCATATAATTATCAATGAAATACTCGTCGCAAAGTGCGATATCGATTTCTCATACTTCTGCTTTAAATGACTTTCTTCTTTAACGTTTAAAGGGTTTCGAAGAGAATAACTCGAATAAAATATTTATTCTTTTCGCATTAAATTAAGAATTGTACAGAATAAAATATTATTGCAAATATTACGCAATAAATACGAAGACTGTTGTAAAAGGATGTAAACATATATTTCAACAAGTGTTCAAAATCATAATCAAAATTCTTTGAGAAGCGATTCATCTTAAAATCTTTTGGATCGCGCACTTTTTGTTGATACTATGTTTTAGAACTGCTAAATAAACAAAATTTGTTTATGTACAGATCGGTGATCCATTGTTGACCCCTCAAAAGAACATTTCTTTACACCGTGTACATGATAGATATTCTTTCTTTGAGATTTCAATTTCCATAGAACTTATTCGATAACTGTTTCCATATCAATGTCAAGTAATTCTTCCATGGGTCTCGGCTTTGAATTAATGATGGACTCATACCATCGAATTTCGGCAGCTGCTAAACATCTTCGCCTGTAAATAGGATATACTAGATTACAGTTATATGTTATCGTATACGTAATCATTTTTATATAGATTCGAACTACGATATTGTGTTAACAACTTTTCTTCATATTTATACCGCTATTGTATGACGCTGCTATTATATTTTAAAACCTATATACTAACATCTCGGTTTGTATACTTGGTGGTTTTCTTACGGGATTCCAACCGGAAATTGGTTTTTCATTGGTTACCATAGCACCTCGAATGCAGAAAGATAACGTAACTTTAGTTAAATTCAAGTCCTGAAAACATTTGTAAGAATTACATAAAATTTCAGTTGTCTTAGAAATAATTTAATATAATTTATATGTAATAATATATTATTCTTTATCAATACTTTATTAAGCGGAATGTAAAAGACTGTAATTAAATATAACGTAAATAACAAACGTACACGCCATTCAGAATTTAATACATCTGCTAAACTCAAAATATTCGCACAAGCGTTCACTTCCTCGATCCCTCTCATGGTATTTAAATAATTTTCCTGTAAAAAATTCAAGAATACTGTTGCTTGCGATTGGAAATACGATGCAATGTCGTCGGGATCATGAGCGAATTTCCAAGAATTATCATTTGGAACTCCTGCAAAGAATTTATTAGTAGAAATTACATTTACTCTTCAAAGTTTATGGCGCTGTGTATAGCAATATTTACTTTTCGGATTAATTACCCGTCCAACACCATGTAGAAGTCCCAAACCTTCTTCTCGAATAAGGCATTTATTTTCTTCTCGTTCCTTTGGAACTAATAGGTATAGCATATTAGAAAATAATATAAATTGACGTGATTAATTATACACACCTTTCAACGAAATAAATATAAGATTAATAACCGCGTTTCTGATATCTCCTATACTATTGGACAATATTTCATCAATTTTATCTTGTGAGACACGCAAAATATTACTGGCAATTGAATTCAGACTTTCTCCAATTCGTTTTAATGCATTTTTCATTGCAGTTTGTGTAACAGGATTGACGCTAAATCATCAAAAATTAATAACTGAGTTCCCTGAAGAAAATTGGAGAGAAAAATACTACGCACTGAACTCTACTCACTTGATTGAGACTATACCAAACTTTTCTCTTATATTAGGAGGAAACAATTTTTGTGATAGACTTGAGTTTCCTAGTTCTGTACAAATAAAAACTATAGGTTCCTTCCCCATTTCATAGTATTTCCTACAATTACAATGCAGTCATTATTATCGTTAAGTAGAAAACATGTAAAAGAAATATAGAAAATTATTAGTTACTCCAATAGAGAGAAGAAACTGTTTTTTTCTTGAATGTAGATATTTGGAAAGTCCTTTACAAGAAGGAGACGACTGTGGTAAGTACTCAAAACTGAACTGTACCTAGTAGCCCTAATTAAAAATTCTTCAAATTTATCTCCTTGTCTCATTACCCTATCTGAAAATTAATCAGTATTTATTATATTTTTATTAAAATTATCAATTGTGTAAGTTTGTATAAGAAACAATTACTATTTTCATCCATTGCTTGGTCAATGGGAGTAATCCATTCTGTAACATTGAAACCATTTTCCTTGGCCAATAGTCTTATTGCTTCTGTCTTCCCACAACCAGATGGACCAGATATAATTAAAGCACTAGGTTTTCCCTTTATAACTTTATATTCTAACCAGTCTGTGATCTCTTGTTGCTTTTGTCTACTAACTACTAATTCAGAAGGCTTTCGTGGTTCGCAAGCTTTTAATAAAGTGGACAAACTGGTAGTACAATTTTTTTTAGGAACTGACGGACTACAACTGTAATTTGTAGTAATATCGGAGAAACTTTTTTCTAATAATTCTAATGAACTTCTTTTTACAGCTGGCAACTTTTTAGAAGGTTTAACATCATCGAACGTTGGCAAAAGCCAACTGCTATTTTTCTAATAACACGTAAGGAAAATTTTATTAGTAATTTTATTGTTAGTAAAAGTAAAAAGTAACAATTTCTTTATTATAAATTTCGTAAAAAAACATACCTTTGAATTAGCCATAATACTGACTAGCAGTGGCACAGCATTACAATCACATTGCAATTAAACGGTGCTGGGTAATCGAAACACTTCTGTATTTAACCTTTTTTAACCTTTAATTCTTAATTTAACCTTTGTAACCAGTGGCTTAAAGTTGATGTTTAGCCTTATAATAATAAATGGCTTTCCGTAACATGATTAACTATTACATTAATATGTCTTGCAGTGTTGTCACCTATTTTTTTCACATGATATCGATACAATAGACTCTTCTGAACAGCTCTCTCTCTCTCTCTCTCTCTCTCTCTCTCTCTCTCTCTCTCTCTCTCTCTCTCTCTCTCTCTGCTCCTCGTTTTCCAGCTATCTTGCGTTGACCAAAGACGGGACGAAATTCCTGGGACGTCGCTTCACCACGGACTGCATTCCGAAATTATTTTTTTTATCGAGTTCGGCGAGGGAAAAATATATTTGTCGATTCGCGCAGGACGAGTCGCGCAGTTTTGCAACACGAGATGCGTATTTTCTATCGATTGCATTGTTTTACGAAGGTTTTTCGTTTCGGAAACTGCGTCGAAAAGGGTCGAATCTTTCGATCAAACAATTGGACAAATTTTGGCTGCGTTTGCTTCGTTTGTTATTATTTAGTGTTGATCGATTTTGTTCGTTTTTTGGAGAAATTATACTGCTAGATATTTATGAGACCTGAAAAGTAACTGTATTTATAGGTAAAAATGTTGCGTACACGTGACAAAAATTATTGAAACGTGAAAGACTAGAAGTATTTGGAAAATTGACGAACAAATTGTCGAACGACGAAATTTTTATTTGATCCTTGGCAATAATCGATGCAGACAATTTTTATTTTGCATAAAAATCTGTTGTCTGCAAATATAACAGAGAATTGAATTTCTCTATATTTTCGTTGTAATTGCATATTAATGGAGGATACTTTATTTATTTAAAGATTTCTATCCAAGTTAATCTGTTTTTCATAAAAATCCGTTGTCTG